TGAAGGTCAGGAGTTTGAGACCAGCCTGGCCAACATGGTGAAACTGCATCTCTACTAAAAATATTAAAAATTAGCCGGGTGTGGTGGTGGTGGTCAGTGCCTGTAATCCCAGCTACTCGGGACGCTGAGGCAGGAGGATTGCTTGAACCCAGGAGGTGGAGGTTGCAGTGAGCCAAGATCACACCATTGCACTACAGCCTGCACAAGAGCAAAATTTCTTCCCACCACTCACACCCCTGAAAAAAAAAACAACAAACAACAAAACCTAAAATGTTGGAGAAGCCAGACACTGGGAAAATGAAGCCATTTTCTATTTTTGCCCCTTCAGAGAACTAGCACCCCTGAGTGATTTCTGCAGGGCAGCCCTGCTCCGAGGAGCCTGTGGCCCACTTACTGAGGGAAGCAACCTGACTGTCCACACGCTGGGCTTACCATGAGGTTTCACTATCGGCAGTAACTCGTTGCACATGTTTCTAGTGGCAAAAAAATTTGTCTTCAGTGTCATCTCGGCTTTAATGTCAAAGGGCATTGGATCATCACCTTTCAGAAAGAGAAAGAAACAAAAAGAAAGTCATATTTTTCCCCCTGAAACTCACATGACAATCTGGATCCTAACTCCGAACAACTAAAGGGAAAAAAAAGTTAATTTTAAAACAATTTTTAAAAACGAGGTCAGTGATTCTCAAACTTTAGTGTGCATCTGAATCACTTGTAGAGTCACCGAATCATAAGTGAATCATCCGAATCACTTGTAAGCTGTTAAAACACAGCTTTCTGGGCCTCACCATCAGAGTTTCTGATTGCAAAGGGCTGGAGTAGGGCTCTAGAATTTACATTTCTTTTCTTTCTTTTTTCTTTTTCTTTCTTTTTTTTTTTTTTTTCGAGATGGAGTCTTACTCTGTCACCCAGGCTGGAGTGCAGTGGCACAATCTCGGCTCACTGCGACCTCCACCTCTGGAGTTCAAGCGATTCTCCTGCCTCAGCCTCTGGAGTAGCTGGGATTACAGGCACGTGCCACCACGCCTGGCTAATTTTTTTATTTTTTGCAGAGATGGGGTTTCGCCATGTTGGCCAGGCTGGTCCCCAACTCCTGACCTCAAGTGATCCACCCGCCTCGGCTTTCCAAAGTGCTGGGATTACAGGCATGAGCCATCGCACCTGGCCTGAGTTTGCATTGCTAAATTCCCAGATGATGTGACAGCTATTGGGCTCTAGCCACACCTTGAGAACACTTGGCTTTGACTACCATTTCTCAAAGGTGCATAGGAGGGAGCTGGGAATTCTGTTGAAATGCAGATATATATATTTTTTCTTTTCTTTTTTCTTTTTTCTTTTTTTTTTGAGACTGAGTCTCGCTCTGTTGCCCAGGCTGGAGTGCAGGGGCATGATCTCCTCTCAGTGCAACCTCTGCTTCCTGGGTTCAAGTGATTCTTGTGCCTGAGCCTCCCGAGTAGCTGGGATTACAGGAGTGAGCCATTATGCCCAGCTAATTTTTGTATTTTTAGTAGAGACAGGGTTTCACCATGTTTCCCAGGCTGGTCTTGAACTCCTGACCTCAGGTTATCTGCCTGCCTCAGCCTCCCAAAGTGCTGGGATTACAGGCGTGAGCCACTGGGTCCAGCGGAAATGCAGATTTTAATTCAGCAGGTGGGGGGCAAGGCGGGAGATTCTGCCTTGCCATGAGTACCCGGGTTTGCAGCTGCTGCTGGTCCATTCCCTACACTTTGAAAGGCAAGGGGGAGTCCCTCCGCCTGTCGTCCAGGAAGCCGGGTATTTATCCGCCAATTTCTCAGCCCATGGCTGAGGGCTGCTTTAGGGAGTGTTAATCCCCACTCCTGCACCCCAGCTCCCAGAAAGCCGGCTAGCTGAGTTGCCGGTGCGGGTCAAAGAAAGTCTCAGGTCCCCATGTACAATGCGGAGTGCTTAGGGCCAAAGGGATGAGTGGAGACTTCTGCTCCCCCATCCTTCATTTCACTCCCTCTTAGGCTTTTCCCCCCAACTAGGTTGGAGGTGAAGCCGGCCTGTTTATTTCTCCGTAGTAACTTTTTTTTTTTTTTTTTTTTTTCAGACGGAGTCTCGCTCCGTCGCCCATCCTGGAGTGCAGTGGCGCGATCTCGGCTCACTGCCTCCAGGGGTCAAGCGTTACTCCTACCTCGGCCTCCCAAAGTGTTGGGATTACAGGCGTGAGCCACTGCGCCCGTCCTGTAATTTTCTTCAGTAGTAGTTAGAATAAGTAATCTCCTGATCCCCGCCCCTCTCCTTAAGGAAGATGCTTTTAAGACCACACACACATGTTTTATAACAAACATAAGCTCCCCGGGGGAGGGAACGAGAGGGCTCGCTTCCTTTTGGTCAGAGCCTATCAAAGCTCAGCATTACACAAATTGTGAAGTCCACCAAGTGCAAGTGCGCGCTAATCCTGTTCTAGCGATTCATTTCCTTCCCCAAGCAAATGCCTCCGGACATCTATGAATGCGCCTTTTCAAGGAAAGCGAAAGCCCAAAGCGAGCGGATACTCTGCAGAGAAAATGTTTCTTGCGTTGGAAGGAAAGCCGATGAACTCCAGCAGGGCGTTGCCGCCTCCCAGGAGGCCAGTTTTCCTGCACACAGCAGCGGCTGACAGTTCGGGGAGGGCCCCGGTCCGCGCACAGGCCCACACAGGCCGGCGGGCGGGGCGCGCAGTGTCTGTCGCCCGGGCCCGCCTGGGGTTCAGCGAATCACGAAAAGCGAAAACCGCCTCGCGGGAGGGGTGGGCTGAGCGCATCCCTAGGGGCCGGCGCCACCCTCCTCGGTCACTCAAGTGGATGGGTGGGGAGCCTGCGGCTGGCCGCCCCGCACCCTCGGAGCGCTCCAGGGGGCCCCAACCCAAGCCCTGCACCTACTCTTGAAGGCGACTGCCGCGTTGTTGACCAGCACATTGAGCCCACCGTACTCCTTGCGCAGGAAGTCGCGCAGGGCGCGGATGCTCTGCAGGTCGTCGATGTCAAGTTGGTGGAAGCGCGGGCTCAGTCCCTCCGCCTGCAGCTGCTGCACGGCCGCCTGACCCCGCGCCACGTCCCGCGCGGTGAGCACCACATCCCCCGAGAACTGTCGGCACAATTCGCGCGCGATGGACAAGCCGATGCCCCTGTTGGCCCCGGTCACCAGCGCCACGCGGCTGCAGGACGACATGACTGACCCGGGCGCGCGGGACACCTGCGTGGAGGGCGGACCAGGCTTCGGACCACCTGGGGCGCGCCCCGAGGAGCCCAGCTAGTGTCAATGCCGCCGCGCAGACTAAGTTCTGGGATCCAGCGCTGCGAGTCTTAAAGAACAAGGCCCCGGCCTCGGTCCCTCCCCTCCGAGGAGGGGCCGTCTGTGCCTTCTGTTCCAACTCCCGGGCCCGCCCCCTGCCCACGCTGCGCCCTTCAGGATCCGGGCTCTGAGCCGCGGGGTGATCTGCAGGGTGTCTGAAGCCAAATCGAACCTTGATGGGTCAGTCGGAGGCTCCAGATTCATGGCAGCTGGACTGAAGAAGTTATTTTGGGAAAACCCCAAAGTGAGAAAAACAAGTGCTGAGTAATTTTCTTGGGTGTGCGCCCATCATGCACTGCAAAATGCGAATGTTTGCCTTTTCCCAAGATGCAGTAACTTTACTTAGACACAGTAACTGCTTCTCTGGACTTAGATCCCCTTGCTTGCTTAAAAGGAACTCAGGAGAGGGAATTAGATGCCCTGTGAGCCCGCCTAGCAGGTGTGGGCAGGCGACATCGCTCTGGGATTCCCAGTGAATGTGCCCCCAAGTGGGAGGGAATGTTCTTATTTAATCCTGACTTAACTCCTATGGGTGCTAAAAATGTCTGCATTTAGGTTTGCCAAATGAGGATATAGATCCATAGAGATCTGGATTGATCATATATTCTCACAGTGAGATCTGTGTACCGGCAAAGAAAGTTAAACTGAAACCAAATTCCCAAAGGTGTGTCAAGCTGTGGGCACAAAATTAGAGCCCCATCCATCGTCTTCAGTGTAAACTGAGTTGTTTGATCAGTGACTTTGAGATTTGGGGAGAACTGTGACATCATCACGACTCAGTCTTCTCCATGCAGAACTGGCTAACCTGCCTGTATCTCTGTTACTCTGACTCCACCCTCTCTCTCAAGTCCTTACTTGAGGTTCCAGAGGTGGGCCCCTGCTGTGATCTCCTACTGTGCTTCTCCCAGTATTTCCTTTTTTCTCCTCAAGATCATTTGGTCTGGACGCAGTGGCTCACATCTGTAATCCCAGCACTTTGGGAAGTTGAGGCGGGTGGATCACGAGATCAGGAGTTCAAGACCAGCCTGACCAACATGGTGAAACCCCATCTCTACTAAAAATACAAAAATTAGGTGGGTGTGGTGGCATGTACCTGTAATCCCAGCTATTTAGGAGGCTGAGGCAGGAGAACTGCTTGAACCTGGGAAGCGGAGGTTGCAGTGAGCCGAGATCATGCCACTGCACTCCAACCTGTGCAACAGAGTGAGACTCCTTCTCAAAAAAAAAAAACAAACAGTCATTTGGAACCTTGTTTTAAGGATATGGGGCTATTTAGGTTTTCTACTTCTATTTTTTTTTTTTTTTTTTTTTTTTTTGAAACAGGGTCTTCTCCGTCACCCAGGCTGGAGTGTAGTGCTGTAGTCATGGCTCACTGTAGCCTTAATCTCCTGAGCTCAGGTGATCCTCCCCTCTAGCCTCCCCAGTAACTGGGACTACAGGTGTGCCACAATCATGCCTGGCTAATTTTTCAATTTTAAAAAATTTTTATTTTAATTTTTATTTTTGAGATGGGGGTCTCACTGTGTTGCTCAGGCTGGTTGAACTCCTGGGCTACATCGATTCTCTCTCCTCGGCCTCTCAAAGTGCTGGTATTACAGGCTTGGGTCACCGTGCCTGGCCCAGTTCTTCTTGAGTGACCTTAATTTCTGTTTTTCACTATTTTAGTTTGTTAAATAAAGCATTGATCCTGTTTTATCACTTGGCAGGAAAACTAGACAATCCACCAGCCCAGGAGGGGACAAGCAGGATTAATCCTCCTCCTCGTCATCTCTGGCTCCAGCCCCACCCTGGCCCATCTTGGCATTCTTCCTCTTCACGTGGCTGGGGTGGCCACCCCCATAGGGAGGCAGAGGGAGAAGTCGATTGCTTCTGGGAAATCAGGCGGACGGTGAAAAACGGGATGTTCACCACTTGCTCATGGACACAGATATGACCTGGCGGATGAGCACACAACCGTGGCGGATGGACACACAACCGTGGCGGATGGGCACACAACCGAGGCGGATGGACACACAACCGTGGCGGATGGACTTACCCAAGCCCAGCTTGAAGACCTGGGTCTGTAGGCATCTCTCTAAGAAATCATCGATCTTCAGGCCCACAATGTAATCCAGCTTCATCTTTCCCTCAACCAGCTCCCCAGTGCGGACCAGCTGCTGCAGCAGGGCAGTGACTTCAAACAGAAGCCGTGGGTCCTTCTCATCAAGTGTCAGCGGCTCCCTGGCAGCCTTGTGGATCTTGACCAGGGTAAATTTGACCCTCCACACCTCACATTTGTTCTGGAGCCCATACTCACCAATCAGCTTCAGCTTTTGGTCGAGATGAGATTTCTCGAAGGGTCTCTGCGGGGTCACGTAAGTTTTGCGACAAACCCAGCTCCGGGCCGCTGGCATATTGGCTCCACTTGCCCGTCTATGCCTAAGCGCAGGCCCTGGTCATTAAGAAAGAGCTCAAAATTTTTATATGTTTCATCTAAGGTGTTGATTCTATCGATACAAAGTTGTTCATAATATGCCCTTATCCTTTTACCATTGGTAGTGATGCTACCTGTCTTTCTGAGATTGGTGTCTTTCGTATTTTTTTCTGATCTGTCTGGCTAGAGGTTTATCAATTGTTTTGATTTTCCTCAAACTTTTGGTTATAATGAGTCTCTCTCTCTCTCTCTTTTCCTGATTATATTAATTTCTGTTCTGTTCTTTGTTTCCTTTCTTCTCCTTACTGGATTTTATTTGCTCTTTTTCTAGTTTCTTACTGTAAAGGCGGAAGTCATTGATTTGTTTTGATTTGAGACTTCTTTTCTAATGTAGGCAGTAAGTGGTGTAAATTCCCTCTTAGTATGACTTTAGTGGCATCTCACATTGATATGTTTTCACTTTCGTTCAGTTTATTTTTATTTTCATTCTTATTTATTTATCTTTTGAGACAGAGTCTTGCTCTGTCACCAAGGCTGGAGTGCAGTGGTGCAGTCTGAGCTCACTGCAGCCTCCACCTCCTGGATTTAATCAATTCTTGTGCTCCAGCTTCCTGAGTAACTGGGATGCGCCTTTCACCATGCTCAGCTAATTTTTGTATTTTTAGTAGAGACGGGGATTCACCATGTTGGCCAGGCTGGTCTTGAATTCCTGACCTCAAGTGATCTGCCTGCCTTGGCCTCCCAAAGTGGTGGGATTACAGGCGTGAGCCACCATGCCTGGCTAGAAGTGTATTTTTTAGTTTCCAATTTACTTGGGGATTTTTCAAGCTATCTTGTGATTGATTTCTAACTTAAATCCATTGTGGTCAATGAACTTACATTGTACAACTTAACTACTTCTTAAATAATTTCAAAAGCTGAGAGAGATATTTAAAGCATGTTTTTATGTAATGATAATAATCTCAGAGAGAACACAGTTGAAGAACAGGAAGAATTACAAGAACAAAATGTGTGGGAAGACCAAGCACGGTGGATCCAGGAATCAGGTGGGGGCGTGGAGGGGGAAGCAGTGCACTTCTTCTCTTGTAACAGAAGGGAAGGCAGAGTGTGTGGGTTTAGACCCAAGCATGTTGGGGAAACTAAGGCCTTCCTGAGGGCATCTGCTATCTCTTTGGAGGGTGACAGATTTGAGGTCATAATTGAGAGGCATTAGTTTGGGGAAATTGAGGACAGTAGTCATTTTGCTGATTGGGAAAGTGATTTTTTTTTTTTTCTAGGCTTTAAAAAGAATGGTAGGGGCTGGGCACAGTGGCTCACACCTGTAATCCCAGCACTTTGGGAGGCCAAGGCAGGCAGATCACTTGAAGCCATGAGTTTGAGACCATCCTGGCTAACATGGTGAAACCCTGTCTTTACTAAAAATACAAAAAAAAAAAAAAAAAAAAATTAGCTGGGCGTGGTGGCAGGCACCTGTAGTCCCAGCTACTTGGGTGTCTGAGGCAGGAGAATGGTGTGAACCCAGGAGGTGGAGCTTGCAGTGAGCCAAGATCACGCCACTGCACTCCAGCCTGGGTGACAGAGCGGGACTCTTGTCTCAAAAAAAAAAAAAAAAAGGCAAGTGTGGTAGCATCCATCTGTAGTCTCAGTTACTTGGGAGGCGGAGGTAGGAGAATCACTTGAACTCGAAGGGGGTGGGGCGGGGGGAGGTTGCAGTGAGCCGAGATCACACCACTGCACTGCAGCCTGGCAATAGAGTGAGACTCTGTCTCAAAAAAAAAAAAAAAAAAGAAAAAGAAATGGCTCTGGTTATTGCCATCAACAGAATAATGCCCCTCCCCCAAGAGGTCTGCATTCCAATCCGCAGAGACTGTGAATGTTGCTTTCCTTGACAAGAGGGACTTTGCAGAAGTGATTACAGATCTTGATGTGGGGAGACTAGCCTGGGTTATCCAGGTGGGCCCAGTGTAGACACAAGGGTCTTTATGAGAGGGAGGCAGAAGGGTCCGAGACGAAGATGTGGTAGAAGTAGAGGTCAGGTGAGATTTGGAGATGGAGGAAGGGCCTGTGCCAAGGAACACAGCCTCCGGAAGTTGGCAGGACAGCAGAGGGGTTCCTCCCTCAGGGACTCTGGAAGGAGCACGGCTCTGATTCCTTGACTTTAGGACTTCCAACCTCCAGAACGGTAAGATCATACGTGTATGTTGTCTCACAGCCCCTCAGTTTTTGGTAATTTGTTATAGTGGCCATAGAAAAGGACTGTAGTTAGAGGAAGATTCCTACTTTCTGTCCTGGCTGAGAGGAAACACTTTTCTCTTGTACTTAGTACAGGCTTGCACAAATAATTGGAATGGTGAGCAGATCTTTTAAGAAAAAGACTGGGCCGGGCACAGTGGCTCACGCCTGTAATCCCAACACTTTGGGAGGCCAAGGCGGGTGGATCACGAGGTCAAGAGATCAAGACCATCCTGGCCGACATGCTGAAACCCCATCTCTACTAAAAATACAAAAATCAGCTGGGTGTGGTGGTGTGTGCCCGTAGTCCCAGCTACTCGGGGAGGCTGAGGCAGGAGAATCGCTTGAACTCGGGAGGCAGAGGTTGCAGTGAGCTGAGATTGTGCCACTGCACTCCAGCCTGGCAAGAGTGAGACTCCATCTCAAAAAAAAGAAAAAGAAAAAAGAAACATTGTGGGTTCTTGTGGTTAACTGCTGTGATTCTGTTTAGATTGGCTTTGCTATCACTTAGTGCTATTGTCCCTTTGTGTTTACAAATCATTAGGGTAAGAACCCAAACCTTTGCCAGTAACATGGCATTCTTCCAGGGTTCTTCTCCTTCCAAAGTCCTTTTGTGGTCTGAGGGACTGAATGTCCACAGCTGTTCCCTCATCTGCATCCAGCGGCTGTCTAAGCACCTGTGAGGTACCAGTCATGCTCAGGAGTGAACAGAGGGCTGGGGAGGGCAGGAGTGGAGCTCCCTGCCCTCGTGGCTCCTTATTGTATCTCCTACTTACTCACTGGGCAGAGTTCCCAATCTCTCAGTGTCTCAGTTTGCTCATCTGTACAATGGGAATAGTTTTAGTACCTTGCTCTTGTGATTGCTGTAAGGAGTACAGCATGAATGTTTAATATTATAAAAGTGCTTTGAGCAGTACTGACAAACAGTAATATATAAATGTTTGCTCTTCTTACCTTTTTCAGCAAAGGCAGGCAGACACCATCTAAAACCATATATTCATGTCTTTACAACCATTGATTGGTGTTCTCCTGGGTAACAGGTACAGTCATGACTACCATTATTTGCTAGAGGCAGATAATGTGGGCAGAGGTGGGAGGTGAGGGGAACCTGTCTACAGCTTCACCTTAAAGAAAGCGTTCTCGACTCCCATCGCGTTCTAAGATAGTCTGGGTTGCAGAAGGCAAGCTTGGGCAGGAATGGGGCCCATTGTTTTTCTGGAAGTGAGATTAAGGTCAGGTTGAGTCAAACGAAGAGGTCAGCAAACAGCTTGGTAACTCCCCAACTCCTCTTCTCTATCCGTAGCTCTTCACTGCCTGCCCTTCTCAGGGGTGGATCACAAAGTGGTTTAGGGTCAGGACAGTGAGTTGAGTGCCATTGGGGGGTGTCAGGGAGAAGACAGTTCCTACAATGCCACCTCATGCAGCTAAAACCTCCCCTTCCTCTCCTAAGTGTTCTGTGTCTGAGCGCTGAGGACAGGACTATGCATGGTCCCAACAGGGCTTCACCAGGCAGGACAAGCAGGTGTGTGATTTGTATGCTTGGGGTCACCATGGTGGCTGTCCCTTTGCTACCCTGGAATTGGTTTCTAGTCTCTATATTCAGAGTGACTCAGGGAAAAGCATACTGCTTATTGTAAACACTGCTGACTTGGAGGAAGAGATTCTCCTTGCAGATGTGGTAGGAACCAGTTTAAGTGTGATGTCTGGAAGGCTGGGCTCTGTGCCTGAAAGGAAATCTGCCACGCCCTTGCTAAACTGGACGGAGAAGGGGCCATGGCAGGCTGGTGAAGCACCTGTGCTGGGAAATGTGGGTCCGAGGGCCCTAGTCCTGTCCTTGGGAACTGCATCGGGGTTTGTTTTAAAGCCTGTTCTTACCTCTTAGCTTGGCAAAGTATTGCCAAGGCTGGGGAAAACAGCCATTCATATATATTTCTGGTGAGTGTAATGTACCTCCTCCTTGGAGGGCAATTCGGCTGTTGTCTATTGAAATTAAAAATATGCATCTCTTCCTGGAAAGGGAATTGTTGGGGGAATTTATCCTACAGATACCCTCCCATGTGTGTAACGACAGCAGGACCAGGATGTTCTTTAAAAGCAATTCCCAGCCAGTTTGTTACAAAGGTCACAAATTATTCAGCGAGATGATAATGGTTTTATGTTTTTTGAAATGATAAATTGTAGCCTGTTGATCATTGTTAAAAATATTTGAATGCTATTTGTATGGCTTTCTCTGTGAACTTCAGTAATTATTTTGGACCGTTTGTATTTGTAGAACTTGCTGCCAGACAGTGCCCCTTGTGGTTGAGTGGCTGCACTACATGGCATATGTATCAGTTTCCTGGGGTCACCATAACTAAACAGCAAATACGGGTGCAGAGGTTCATTCTCTCATAGTTCCGGAAGCCAGAAGTCCGAGATCAAAATGTTGTCAGGACCATGCTCTTTTTTAAAGCGCTGGGAAAGAATCCTTCCCTGCCTCTTCCACTTGCTGGTGGTTGCTAGCAATCTTTGGCGTTCCTTTTCTCGGGGCAGCATCACACATACCAACCTCTGCCTCTGTCTTCACACGGCTGCTGTCTCTGCTGGGCATCTGTGTGTGTCTTCTCCTCTCCTCTTACTTCTTTTTTTTTTCTTCTTCTTGAGACAGAGTCTCACTCTGTCTCCTAGGCTGGAGTGCAGTGGCAAGATCTTGGCTCACTGCAATCTCCG